CTGCCTCCCTCACACACCCTGATCTGGGATCAAACCCACAAACCCTGCATGTGCCCTGCCGGGAATAGAACCTGCACCTTTTGGTATACAGGACAACCCTCCAACCAACTGAAGCACGCCAGCCAGGGCAAATGATAACGGTCTTACCTCTGATTACCTACGGCCTGGCCCACTCGCTAGCCAAGCCCAGGAGGGAGTTCCTTCTCTGCCAGAGGGGGTGCCAGGCTCACCTTGCTCCTGACACTAGGGCTTTCCTTCTGCAGCACTGTAATGGTGTTGACTGGCGTCAGAAGCTGGACTCCCAGCGAGGGGCCGTCATTGCCACCGAGCTGAAGAACAACAGCTATAAGTTGGCCCGATGGACCTGCTGCGCTTTGCTGGCTGGATCCGAGTACCTCAAGCTTGGGTGAGATTCTTGTCTGGGAGTTGTGAACTCCTCCTCTGGAAGGAGGTGTCTGCGGTCAGGGAGACAAGGGCTCGCCTTTTTCCCTTTCCCTTAGAAAAAGTCAGGTGTCCCCATTTAACTGATATTTGTCCCCAGATTCTCCCCCCGTCATAACACCCCACTCTCCCCACTAGTTATGTGTCCCGGTACCATGTGAAAGACTCCTCGCGCCACGTCATCCTGGGCACCCAGCAGTTCAAGCCCAATGAGTTTGCCAGCCAGATCAACCTGAGTGTAGAGAACGCCTGGGGCATCCTGCGCTGCGTCATCGACATCTGCATGAAGCTGGAGGAGGGCAAGTACCTCATCCTCAAGGACCCCAATAAGCAGGTCATCCGAGTCTACAGCCTGCCGGATGGCACCTTCAGTTCCGACGAGGACGATGAGGATGAGGAAGAGGAGGAGGAAGAAGAAGAAGGTTTGTACAAGTCTCTTTCTGAACTCTCGAGTGAGCGGCAGGCTGCCCAGGGACCAAGCTCTGTGGCCACATTGCTCCTGAACCTTGATGGAAACTTTCTGAGGGCTCCCTGAGACATGACTGCATTTGGAGTGGCGTTCAGTCTGACTCCAGGAACTCGCTTCACGAGCCTGTAGGTCACATGAAGGGGGTGAGGAGGAAGGTGGTCTTGTAGAGGCTGGGTGAGGAAGAAGCATCTAGAGAAAGACAATGGAAGTCCCTGATGTTAGCCAGTGGGCTGAAGGAGAAAAGGCTCTGGGTTAGCTACATGGGTTTAAGCTATCTTTCTTGCTTCACCAGCTGGGGACTAAAGGAAACATGTCAGCCCTGTGAGGATCTGAAAGACTTGACTTCTGGGTGGAGGTGTTGAAATCATAAGCAGTTCACCAGTTTCACGTGGCTCATTTAACATTCTGTATCTTTCAGAGGAAGAAACTTAAGCCAGACGGTGATGTGGAGCTGGAATGTGTAAATTCACCGAGCCTAGGAGGGCCTTCGGTTCCTGGTAGAATGTTTGTCTAATACCTGCACTCTGGAATTTGACAGATGGAATAAAGTATAAGTCTCTTTAGTCTCTTACCCTCAACACCTGCCTACATTATGATTTGATTGACAGCCCTTCTTCCTTCTCCAGGTAGCCCTTGGGAGAGGGAAGGTGAGATAGAGAAGTTCCTTCCTGGAGTTCTCTGGGTTCTATCCTTTGTTCTTGAGCATTTTGAGTTTACCATCCTGTTAGAGGGTGGATGCCCTAGACTTCTCTGTTCTTGGAACCCATGAAATTATCTGTTCCTGGAGACTCTTCATTATGAGGTCCCACAGAGGTTCACATGAGAAGTCCATGGTCATATGCCAAACCTAACTACTGCCCTTGGAGACACAAGTCACTAGTAAAAGGTGAGGCAGGGCGCAGTCTCTGGAGGTTGAGGTGGGGCTTGTTGCTCATGGAGTCGCCCTCAGAAGATTCGGTCTGACGTTCCACTGGGTGGGGATCAAAGCGGTTGTAAATTGTTTTCAAGCTTGGCTTGAGCTCGTGACCGTCGCAAGCTGGCACTCAAAGCAGTGTTATAAATCAGAGTTACAGATGTTTAGGATATGTAAACTTATTTTAGTAGAGCACTGTTTTTATTAAAGGATAGTGTTCTGTTCTTGGGACTATGAATTACATTGCCAGGTATTGTACTAAGCTTTCTAGAAATATCTGAGCCTGACACAGAACTTACAATGTTGGTGGAAGTGATACCACTGCACAGATGAGGAAACAGGCTCAGCTTCTGAGTAACATTCTAAATTTTAATCAAAATCGTGCCTTAAAAAATAAGCAAAATGTATCATACTTTGTTAGAGTTATTAGAAAGATAGAGCATACACGTGCTTCTTAGGGAGTTTTCAATGTAGGTAGTGTGATAAAAATGACGGATGTAAGTGGTGTGACAAGTGCCAAGGGTTTTCAAAATTCAACTAATACCAAGCTGCCTCTTGCAGACTCCTGATGCAATCCAGGTGGATTTGCTGGGACAAGTGGGCAGGTGGAAGCTGGTTTCATGCAAACAAAACATTTGCATCAGCTTCCAAATACTTCATTTCTTTGATCTATCCCCTGCTCATCTGTCCTGTTGGGGCCACCATGTTGATTGTTAAAAACAGTCCTAACTCAAAAGCCTTGGCTAGCATCCTGCTGCCTACAGTCCAGGTTCAGCCTCGTCTCCAGGTCCTGCCACACTTCATCGTCCTAATTTCCCATTACTCAAGACCAGCAACTATTTTAGGTACTCCCATTATTTGCCAGCTTCCATTCTCAGATCTTCACAACCACTAAGAAGTAGACCTCCTGCTGTATTTTTGGTTAGGTATTTTGCCTAGCCTGTCTGGTTTCAATGTTCATTCAACAGATGCTCATTGAGGGCATCTTGTGTGCCCTCAGATACTGGAGAGTGCACTGAAGTCATCGTAATGAATAAGGTCATTTCTGCTCTAATGGTGCTTTTCTCTGATGCTGATACAGGCCATGAAAATTATAGATAAGTGGCATTTGTTAGTGCTTGGTCTGAGGTTTCAACTTTTTTTTTTTTAATATATTTTTTTGGTTTCAGAAAGGGGGAGAGAGATAGAAACATCAATGATGAGTCATTAGTCAGCTGCCTCCTGCATACCTGCCCACGGGATCAAGCCTGCAACCTAGGCATGTGCCCTGACTGGGAATCGACTGACCTAGTTCAATTACACTCAACCACTGAGCCAGGCCAGCTGGGCTCAGCTACTATTTTTTATGAAAAGAAGCTCCAGCCATGCAAAGCTAGAATATAAAGTTCTTTCCACGCTAGACATGGCTGCTTTCCCACAAGAACCCTCAGTTCCATCTCACTGGACCACATTAATGCCTTTTGAAGGTTCCTGTTCTTCCCTCATAAATGTACTATGTTCTGTCCATGAAATCTTGATAAAAGTTATGACACATTGTAACAACTGATTGGGGTCTGTGGGAGGAGCTAGAGTTTAAGGGGAGCGTTCTTGTATCCTATGCCACTGTGAGAACCCTACAGAACTCTGGTGGTAATCGTCCCCTTTTTCCTTCTATAAGTTCCTCTTCCAATTTTGTCTGATTCGCTTGTTGGGTTGCCATATTTTTCCTAAGTCCTTTTGATGAAAGAATTACCTACTTGATTCTGTTTCCAAGTTGATAATCTCATGCAGGATCCACATCCCACCTCTGGGAGGCCAGCTACAATCATCCTGTTATCCTCCACGTGCTGTGCCTCCAATTCAGCCACACCACTGCTGTGTAATAGCAGTGGGTTTATGTTTAGTGTCATACTGGCCTATCATAGGCCACTATATTTACATTACCAGGCTCAAAACATTCATAAATGAATAAAAAACATTTTATAAAGAGCTCATAATTGAGTGAAAAGGGGATTTTCATTCCAAGCTCCACCTCAAATCACTCTATAACCCTATAGAGGTTTTGACCAGTGGCTCCAAAATGTTGTAAACATTATTTTTGGCTACCTCACTGGTTGGTGAAAGATCAAGTCAATCATGAATGTTTCTTAATAAACAATAGACTGAATCATTGTAGTGTCCAGGTAAGAACTTCCAAACCTGTAAATTTTTATAAGGATATGCCTGGAAGCAAGATAACAGAAAAATGATTCTCAGAATGACAGTTTGCAGCTTTTACGCATTCAGAATTAAAGGGGAAGGAAAGTAAGATACAGGAAGGTATCTTATTACAGGATAGTTAAGAGTATATGCTCTCTAGATCAGTGATGGCGAACCTATGACATGCGTGTCAGAGGTGACACACGAACTCTTTTTTTGGTTGATTTTTCTTTGTTAAATGGCATTTAAATATATAAAATAAATATCAAAAGTATAAATCTTTGTTTTACTATGGTTGCAAATATCAAAAAATTTCTATATGGGACACGGCACCAGAGTTAAGTTAGGGTTTTTCAAAATGCTGACACGCCGAGCTCAAAAGGTTCGCCATCACTGCTCTAGACAAAGGCATTTCAAAGGTGTGTTAGTCCTAGATGCACAGAAACAATGGACAGGGCTTGCTTAAGGCAGAGAAACCTTTTACTAAAGAATGCATATGCCTAGGGCATGACGACTCACCTGGACCTGCCCCCTTAGGAATTTATCATCAGATCATGAAGTTACTTTCTGTAGAATCACTTTTTTAGTCCACAGTAGCAAAAACCTGTTAATTAGTTTTTCTCTCCTGGCTTCACCAACCTGGTTTCCAGTCCCCAAAACCTGGGTAGCCAACTGGTCTTTAGCTACATTCATGGTGGAATGTAAGAGCTGGAATTACCCTCAAGAATGATCTCCCGCGCCTCCCAAGTGAAAAGGCACAGCTGAAAACAAAGGCCCGCACTGGGGGTTTTGGGGGGGCGGACCTCCTGCCCAGGCACCGCAGCCCCTAGGCAGCACCTGCAGGCCTCCGCACCGCCTACGGACCCCCGCAGGCCCACCGTCCGGCGTGCGGCGCGCCGCGCACGTGACCCCGCCCCCTGCCATTGGCCCGGAGGGAGGGGAGGGGAGGGGCGGGGCGGCTCCGCGGCGCGAGCGGGCTGGGCCCAGCCTTCCTCCCTGCGCGCGCTGCCTGCGGAGCGGCTGCGAGGTGCGAGCCCTCGGTAGGGGGTTGGGGTCTTCGGGCCGGGGCGGCCGGAGCCGCGGTCGTGGGCACTGCGCACGCGCGGGGAGCGCCTCCTAGAAGGTGCGCGCCAGCAGCAGGGCGGCCTCGCGCCGGCGTGGCAGCAGGTGTGTTGGGCATCTCTGACCGAGGAGGCTCGGGCACCTGGTCGGGGGTGGGTCCATGCGGGCCACGCCTTCCTCGGGCTCCAGCCCCAGAGCAGAGCTGTGGCTGAAGAGACATGCCCCCAGGCACTAGCCGGGGGAGGGCTCGAGGGCTGTTGGACATCCTTCAAATTAGGGAGAAAATAGGGGAGCACCCACCTTCTCACCACCATGGCAAGAAGAGGAGGGCTGGCGCCCCCGGGAACCGGGGCCCTGAAGGAGACCGAGGGGTTGGGGATTTTTGGAGGGAGCTCCAGATCCAAGCTTGAAACCATAGCAGATGAGCTCAGAAGTCCTTGAGATCTGGTCCTGGCTCCACCCCAAATAGCCGCGAGCGCCCAGGCCAGCCTCTGCCTCTTGGCAGGCCCCGGCCTCACTCATTCCCAGGGCCTCAGGCCAACCTTGGTCCGAGCCTCGCCCCTCTGGTCGGCGCAGGATGGGCCTCTCCCCGGGGCTGCTCCTGACCATGGCTCTCTGCCCAGCTCTCACCCTGCACCCGGCTGAGGCCCAGGCGCCCGCACACCGGGACTACTGCGTCCTGGGCGCGGGGCCGGCGGGCCTGCAGATGGCCTACTTCCTGCAGCGGGCCGGGCGGGACTACGTGGTGTTCGAGCGCGCCTCGGGGCCCGGCAGCTTCTTCACGCGCTACCCCAGGCACCGCAAGCTCATCAGCATCAACAAGCGATACACGGGCAGGACCAACGCCGAGTTCAACCTCCGCCACGACTGGAACTCTCTGCTCAGCCATGACCCTCGGCTGCTCTTCAGACGCTACTCCCAGGCCTACTTCCCCGACGCCGGCGACATGGTGCGCTACCTGGGCGACTTCGCAGGCAGGCTGGGCCTCCGCGTGCGGTACAACACAACCATTGCCCACGTCACGCTGGACAAGGATCGGCGGGCCTGGAATGGCCATTACTTCATTCTGACCGACCAGAAGGGCCAGGAATACAGGTGCAGGTAAGGAACGGGGTCCCAGCGCTCACCTGAAGCTGGGCCTTTCCTGGAGGCCCTGACACTTCCTGTGTGGCCAGTTGGTGGGGGAGGAATGGGAGAAAGCAACGTTGGGTAGTTAGCATTACCTAAGCTTACGTCCCCACACAACCCGTTTGTAGAACATCTCCCAGAACTAGTGTTCCCCAAAACACGGGCTGGGAAAAGCTGGATCTAGCAAGTGTTAGAGGGGCCCAGTGGGATTTCAGAACCGAACAAGAGTGAGAAGGCCCTACAGGCAGTGCTGCCAGCATTCAGTTTGAGCTTTCGAGAAAGCTTAATGTCCTGTAGGCAACCCAGATTCAGAGTCACGAACTAGACTGCACTGTGCTGTTGCAGCCTCACCAGGACCCTATGGGAGAGGGTTACTGATTCCCTTCTCACAGATGAAGAACTGAGTCTGAGAGAAGCCCAGCAACTGGTGCTGCGTCACACGGCTTTTTTCTTTTTTGTATTGGGAAAAGTTCAATTAGCAACAATCGTGCCTCGGATAAACCTCATTGGCTACGATACTGCCACTGCGCAAAGCTTCACACAGCTTTTAAGCTGCAGTTTGAGCTCATATCTGCCTGACCTCGAAGCCCCTGTTCTTTCCAGCTGCACCAGACTGCTTCTCACTTCCTGGCCATTAGCTGAGCACCTGGCTCCCAGCAGGTGCTCAATCAGAGTTCATCTTCCCCTCTGTTTTGGCAGAGGCCCAGCCTCGCTCCTTGCTTCTTACAGCCCGGGGAAAGAAGGCTGAGCCATTTTGACCCTTGCATTTAAACAGCTGTGTGACAGTGTAGGGGAGTCAGCTATGAGCAGCGTGGACAAGAGTCAGCAGACACAGTGATAGGGGCTGCATATGTCCCTCTACAGGCCATCCAATTGGATTTTTTTTTCCAATTCGATTTTTGAAACCACCCTGCGATCAAATCATTCTTCTGCAGGCCGGCAGGACCCAGCTCCCCAGCCGCCCTCGACAACGCTGTAAACACACCAATATAAAGAGCAGGACTTGGGCATCCTGCTGATCTGTGGTCGAGTCTGGCCCTGCTGACTTGGAGCTTTGGACGCCAGCTGTGGGCCTGTGTCTCCTCACCTGTAAAGCAGGCCAGCTAACGTCAATCAGGGTTGCTTGGAGCTGTAAGATGACACGTAAAACATGTTGTACAGAGTCTGGTAGAGATTAAGCCTCAACAGATGTCTGCATTTGTCAAGCAAGTCAGAAAGGGGAAAGTAGGAACATCAGGTCTCCTTCTCATCACTGAGGGTGATACTTGGTCTGACTGCTGTGTTCAGAATTGGATGAATTACTTGATTTCTCATGGTGCTACCTTCTCCTGTCAGTCAAATTCTCACATTTGGTACAATCCCAGTAAGGGGTAAAGGAAACTGTGTTTGCTGGAGTGAGCTCAATGAGGGATAGGGGTAAAGTCTCACGTCTACTGGGATGGATCCGTAATCAGATGAATGAGTGAATAGTCTTGTTTTCTTTTAGGAGCCAGCAGTTTGAGTCAGGTGGACAAGCCAGGTGGCAGGTCCAAAAAGTGACTTTTCCTTAGTGTCTGGTAGCTAAGAGACTAAGCCAGCGTCCCCTTGTCCCCCACCTGCAGCGTCCTTCTTGTCGCCACCGGCTTGTCAGTCCCCAACCTGGTGGACTTCCCCGGCTCCGAGTACGTGGAGGGTTACGAGTCTGTGTCCGTGGACCCTGAGGACTTTGTGGGTCAGAATGTGCTGATCCTGGGCCGAGGGAACTCGGCCTTTGAGACGGCAGAGAACATCTTGGGTGTCACCAACTTTGTCCACATGCTGAGCCGCTCCCGCGTCCGGCTGTCCTGGGCCACCCATTACGTAGGAGACCTCAGGTATGCCACGCAGCCGCCCTGGTGTGCCGTGTACTCCAGCCCCTCTAAGCCGTCCCTGACCCCAGCTAGAGGAACCACCTCTTCCTCCGAGCCCCTTGTACCCGTACAGACTCCTTCCTCTCTCCTGCATGTTCCGTGGGCCCAGGGCCGTCAACAACGGCTTGCTGGACACCTACCAGCTGAAGTCCCTGGACGGGTTGCTGGAGTCCGACCTGACGGATCTGGCTGTGGTGAAGGACCCCAAGGGCAAGCTCCACGTCACCCTCAAGTTCTACCTGGAGGACAGCAACCAGAGTGCCGAGGCCATCCCCCTCCCCCAGGACGACAGCGACAACTTTGCCATGCGCGTGGCCTACGACCGCGTCATCCGCTGCCTGGGCTGGAAGTTCGACTTCTCCATTTTCAATAAGTGAGTCCAAGTGAGGAGGTACCTGGGATGGGATCTCATACAAACGCCTCTGACACCCCCCTGGGGGAACAGCGTCCCCGTCCGGCAGTGCCAGTGCCAGGCTTTCAGGCCTCCGTCCTCAGCCTGGATGTGGATGCTGCCTGGTTTCCCGCCCGGGTGTGAGCTCTCTGTCCACTGAGAAGGGTCCCAAGTGGCCCTGAGGCCCTCCCCCTCAGAGCAGCGGCAGCAGCGAGTCTTCGTCTGTTGTGATTTTCCACCTGAGAGATGGGAAGGCAAGGACCAGGAGGTGAATTTGCTGGAAGGCAGGATGGTGGCCAGGAGCGCAGGCTCTGGGGTCAATCTGAGATTCTTTCTTACCAAATCTGTGAGCTTTGGGAGAGTTGCTTTACCACGGTTGGCCCCAGTTTCTCATCACTAAAATGGGGATCATAGTTTCTTTTTTCATTGGCCTATTGTGAGGATGAATATAGAAAACTACTTGGGCCCTAGCAGGTTTGGCTCAGTGGATAGAGCATCAGCCTGCGGACCAAAGGGTCTTGGGTTCGATTCCAGTCAAGGGCATTAAAAGAGAGAGAGAGAGAGAGAGAGAGAGAGAGAGGGAGGGAGAGAGGAGAGAGAGAGAAAAGAGGAAGGAAGGAAGGAAGGAAGGAAGGAAGGAAGGAAGGAAGGAAAAAGAAAAGAAAGAAAACTACTTGGCATATACTCTATGCTCAATCAAATGTTGGCAGCCGAAATTATTTATAACTAGAGGCTCAGTGCATGAAATCGTGCAGTTGGGAGGAGGAGACCATAGGAGGTTGACCAGCTGGCCTGCCCTGATCAGAGCCCAATCAGGGCTGGGCTGGCAGGAGGTTGACCAGCTGGCCTTGGCTGGCAGGCCCTACCCCGATTGGAGTGAGAGAACTGATTGAGGGCGGGGCCAGCCATGGGAAGGGGTGGTGGGCCAGCTGACCCTGCCCCCAATTGGTGGGGGGGGGGCGATCAGGGGTGGTGCCAGCTGGGGAGAGGGACCATGGGCTGTAGCTGCCAGCCTTGCCCCTGATCCGAGTGAGGGGGCCCATCAGGGACGGGGCTGGCTGGGGGAGGGGCCACAGGTGGTTGGCCAGTCAGCCCCACCCCTAATCAGGGTGGGGGGCCAATCGGGGGTGGGGCTGCAAGAGGTTGGCCGTCTGGCCCTGGCCCCTATTGGGGTATGGGGTGATTGGGGGCAGGGCTGGCCAGGGGCAGGGGCCACAGGTGGGGTTGGCCGGCTGTCCCGCCCTTGATCTGGGTGGGAACGGCCGATTGGGAGTGGGGCCGGCCAGGGGGAGGTGCCGCGGGACGTTGGCCGGCTGGCCCAATCCCCAATCGGGCCGGTTTGCTGGCTGCAGTGGGCAGCATAGCCACTGGTCATTCTGGTCATTACAGCGTTCGGGTCACTGGATTTTTATATATGTAGATTGCATTTTGAAGAACTGCTTTATAGATCCTCATCTTTTTTAGACATTGCTGCCTCAGTTCCTTTGTAAGGCTTAGTATCAAAGAATCTATCCAGCGCCCTGACCGGTTTGGCTCAGTGGATAGAGCATTGGCCTGCGGACTGAAGGGTCCCAGGTTCGGTTCCAGTCAAGGGCATGGACCTTGGTTGCGGGCACATCCCCAATGGGGAGGGTGTGGGAGGCAGCTGATCAATGTTTCTCTCTCATCGATGTTTCTGGCTCTCTATCCCTCTCCCTTCCTTTCTGTGGAAAATCAATAAAATATATTTGAAAAAAAAAAAAAAGAATCCATCCAGGGTCTCACTTCCCTTCTGGTCAGGGCACAGGCACAGGCAGACAAGAACCTCGAGGGTCTGAACCAGACCCTCCTGTCCCATCTGGTCACACAAAGCCCAGAGCCCAGCCGTGAGTCAGGCTTGAATCCTGACCTTGGTCCTGACCCACCACATCTTTAACTCGAGCCGCAGTTACTCTATCTGTTAAATGGAGATGATTATACATGCCTCCTGGGTCATGCATGGTATGATTTAAATGCAATCTATATATATAAAAAGCCAGTGACTGGAACTCTGGACGACCAGTCGCTATGCCGCCCACTGCAGCCAGAGAACCATCCCGATCAGGGGTGGGGCCGGCCGGCCAACCTCCCCGCAGCCCCTCCCCCCTGGCCGGCCCAGCCCTGATTGGGCCCCCCCGATCAGGGCGGGCCGGCTGGTCAACCTCCCGCCGTCTCCTCCTGCCATCTCCTCCTCCCGACGGGCCCAGCCCCAATCCACCCTGATCGGGGGCCGGGCCGGCTGGACACCACCAGTGCACAAATTCGTGCATTGGGCCTCTAGTAAGGAATATAAAACACTTAGCTCAGAGCCAGGCCTGTAATTCGTGTTTCATACACAGCAGCAATTTTTATTAACAACACTTTCTGCTCACAGGACCCTCAGACTGTCTTCAGGGAGTGAGTTCAGCAAGAAGTACCCACTGGTCAGACCTAGCTATGAGTCCAAAGGAAGCCGTGGTCTCTTTGTCCTGGGTACGGCCAGCCACTCTGTGGATTACCGGAAATCTGCTGGGGGCTTCATCCATGGATTCCGATACACAGGTGAGCCCACCTCCCCAGGCTCGGGAAGCACTCTGTGGTTTCCAGCAGCTTTCAAGGGATTGCTCATCAGTAGTCGACTGTCATAAATTCCGAGTCTGGGGCAGACAGCACCGGGTTTCCATGGTCTGAGGATATGTCTAGAAAAGCATCCAATAAGGTATAAAAGTATGTACATCTGGGGTGCGTGTTACATGCCTGTGTCCTGTCGGGTGAAGTGCCATGTATTGGTGAGAACGCTGAGCTTGAGGAATGTTAACCTGGGTTCCTCCCCCGTGGGGTGGCCTCAGAGGTTAGGCTTCATAACCTCTCTAAGCCTCTGTGGGGTACCCTCACATCAGAGGTGGGAGTGAGGGGAGGCCCCTGCCCTCGAGGGACTGTTGTAAGGACTAGACTAGGCCATACCTGGGACCATGCAGCTGTGAAGCATCACATGCAGTTTTTGGGCACCGACAAATCTGAATAAGAATTGTAGTTGGAGCCCTGGGTGGTTTGGCTCAGTGGATAGAGCATCGGCCTGTGGACTGAAGGGTCCCGCGTTCCATTCTGGTCAAGGGCACATGCCCAGGTTTTGGGCTTGATCCCCAGTAGGGGGCGTGCAGGAGGCAGCCGATCAATGATTCTCTCATCATTGATGTTTCTATCTCTCTCCCCCTCTCCCTTCCTCTCTGAAATCAATAAAAATATTTTTTTTTAAAAAAGAATTACAATTGGATTATATTCGTTCCTTTTCGGAGCTGTAGGTACTGAGGGTATAAATTTTCTGTCCTCAGGGGAGGCTGTGGGATGGGTGCTTTATTGCGTGACAGGTGTAACATGAGCCCGTTAATTCTGTCATAAACGCCATGAGGCCCTGTGCCCTGCATTCTGACTTTTCTGTGTTTAATTGGATGCCTCGCACTGCCTTAATGCTCACTTTTGCACATCACTATCCTTCCAGTTTGGCAGAGAAAGGTAGTTATGTTTTACTGTTGATTTCCGACAGTATATTTTGCACCCCACACGTGTTGTCGGAAGGACACCAGGGAGAGAGTGTTAGCTGTCTGTAAAGAACACACATGCACACGCACACACATGCCCACGCACACACCTGCACACGCGCACACACGGAATGAGAAGAGTGTCTCGTCAGCCGAGTCCCCCCAGTAAGAAACCCTCATCACCGTTCCCAAGCCCGGCACCCTCCCTGCACCCGCTCTCCTGGCACACACCGCCCCGTCCCTCTTGCTCCCTCTGTCCTCTGCCCCTTTTTTCCAGCTCACAACAGCCCCATAAGACACATCCTGTTATTTCAACTCCATTTGGCAGATAAGGAAACGGGCACAGAGACGTTAAGTAATTTGCCCAAAGTCACCCAGCCAGTGGATGGCAAAGGTGGAATTTGAACCCATATCTGCGTGACTGTGGTGCTCACCGCTAACTGCAGAGCTCCAGGCAAATGAGAAACAGACGTGGGTGTGTAGCCACAGATTGCCGTGGTCAGTACTCACTGAGGACTCTCCTGGGGGAGGGACGGGTGACTACACAGTACATTCTGCCCAGACCGTGCTCATCATTCATCTGAGAAACAGGCCCCGAGGGAGACAAGTAGCAAACAGTAAGGCAGAGTGAAGCAACAGAAGATAAAAGCTGAGCGGGCGGCACAGACCGGAACTGCTTCGAGCGGAGGACTTGCTGGAAGCCTTGCCCATCCCCCATCTCTGTTCTGCACCATCCCTCCCATAGTACCCACCAGAACAACCTTCCTTTTAAAACAAAAACAAATAAAAACAACAACTGTATCCTTCCTCTATTCGCACATCTTGAGTGGTTCCCCGTCTCCGCAGGGAGTCCCAGCTCCCAGCACGGCATTCGGAGCTCTGTGCAGCCAACACCGGCTCGCCCTTCCAGCCTGGCCCCTCGCCTGCTTCTCAAGAGGTGCCAGGCTCTCTGAAGATTCTGTTTCTTCACGTGTGTGCTCCTTTGTCAGGGCTCCGTTCCCAAACTTCTCCAGCTGTGTAATTCCTCGACCTTTTGCAAAAGTCAGCTTCACCGTGGTTTCCTCCAGAGAGCCAGGTGTCTGGTGAGGCTGCAGGCCTCGCTGTGACTGTGGGCCAGCGAGGCCCCTGTCACCTGAGCTGCTGTGTCCTTGCCTTTCCTGGATCTGGGTGTTGTGTTGATTCGTTTTGGAAGAGCAGGCATCTGTGTGCGGTGCCCCAGTTTCACAACTGTGTCCGGCAGCCCCAGGCACACAGAAAACGTCTCCTGTTGTTTTAGACAGCGGTTGCTTTTCTAGCCTGACATAAATATACAAAGCATTTCAAAATAGAACTCGGTGACAGATTGGGTTTAGGCTGTGAAGGAGAGGGAGCAGTCAAAGGGTTTCCATCGGGATGTCTCCCGCAGGAGTGGGGACTAGGCGAGGGGAGAGGTTGCAGAGGAAGGCGCTGGGTCCAGTTTTGACACCACGTGTGGAGTGGTAGCTGCGGGACTTCCCTATGCAGGTGGCGAAGGCAGGGGAGCACACACGGGCCTAGGGACCCGATTCGGCCACGCCCCTTCACTTAGCTGTCCTCTGTGGCTGCTTGCACACCAGAGGCGGAAGTGAGTTGCGTGACAGCCTCTGCCAAGCCGAAAATGCTTCCACCTGGCCCTTCACAGAAACCACGTGCTGACCCTGCTCTGAAGGCACCTTCTGGGCGTCATGGTACAGTGTGTATGGAGTTTAGAGACGTTGATGGGGACTTTATGGCCCTCCTGATGGCAAAAGATAAATTCTTCGTTTTTAATGTATTTTTATTGATTGCAGCAAGGAAGGGAGAGGGAGAGAACGAGAAACATCAGTGATGAGAGAGAATCATTGATTGGCTGCCTCCTGCAACCCCCTCTGGGTATGGAGCCCACAACCCAGGCACGAGCCCTGAGTGGAATCAAACCGTGACCTCCTGGTTGATAGGCCCACGCTCAATCACTGAGCCACATCGGCCAGGAAAAGGATAAGTCCTTAAGTGCAGCATGCCCTCCCTCCCTCTGGCCATTTCAGTGCGTGCTGTTCACCGGCTGCTGGAGCATCGCCACCACGGTGTCGCCTGGCCCGCCACCGAGCACCCCATCACACAGCTGACCAGCTCCGTCCTCCGGCGCGTGAACGAGGCTTCCGGGCTCTACCAGATGTTCAGTGTGCTCGCCGATGTCGTCCTGTTGAAGGAGTGAGTCACCCACCCCACCACGCTGCCCCTCTGCCGCCTCACCTTACCCTCGTCACACCCCTGCCTTTCCCAGTGTGGAATAGCCCAGTGGTTCCCTCCTAAGATGAAGCCTGAGGAGAAACGGGTGAGGGTAGGGGAGATGGATTTTATTCTGGAGAAAAATCAGTGAAATCACACCACCAGCTCTGCAGACAGTCAGTCCTGAGCGTGAACCAGGCTGTGCCTCTTTCCACCTGTGTGACTTTGGGCAAGTTAGTTAGCCTCTCTGAGCCTTTCTCTCGCCTGCAAAATGGGGGTAAAGTGGGGTTCTGCGTACCTGGCAGAACTGCAGGAAGGAGTAAAGGTAACGCATAGAAAGCATTTGGCACCAAGCAGATGAGCAGTAAACTGCAACACCAGTGAGATTCCTGAGTTCCCTGGGGCTGGGGCCAAGTTGGCTCCTTCTCAGTCCACTGTAAGGGGACACTTCCTGAACAGGAAACTGTAGAGGGGCTGGAGGGAGGCCCTCCAAGGACAGGTGGCAGGTGAGAAGCAGAGGAAGAACTCAGAGGAAACAGCGGCCCAAAGCCAGGGAGTGTGGCAGCTCACCAAGTTCAGGTGGGCCTTGACCCTCTCGCCTTCACACCCATTCACCACACAGACCACCCGTAAGTCCCGTTGGCTCTCCCTTCAGGTAATCTAGAACTGACCTCCCTGCACAGCTCTGCCCTGCCCCTTGGTCCGGACCGCAGCATCTCTCACGTGCATCGGTCCAGCAGCGGTCTGCTCTCAGCGCATGGCCAGGGTGGCCCTTTAAAACACGAGTCCCACCAGTTCATCTCTGCTCAGTACTCACTGGGGCCCGGGGCTTCCCCTCAGTCCAGATGAAACCAGGTGTTCCCATCGTGGCTTACACAAGCCTTCCTTGACCTGGGCCCACCCATTTCCCCACCCCCCTCGCCGGGCCCTCCCCTCAACTCCACTCCAGCCACCCTGGCCTTCTCCCTTGAACACACCAAGGCATGCGCCCGTCCCAGGGCTCCACTGTAACATCTACGTGAGCTGTGCGGGGCTGGTCAGAGTCCGTGTGCTGTTTGATTGTCACTTCCTGGAGGGAGAGGGGCACGTACACACAGGCCCACGTGCACACGCCTCGCCTCTGCCGCAGCACTGAGGGTCTGGCCTCCCATCTGCCTTGGTCCCAGGAACGGCACAGCATTCGAGTACCTGGAGGAGTTCCCCATGCAGATGCTGGCCCAGCTGGAGGCAGTCACCGGCAGGCAGGCCAGGCACGGGCTCTTCGTCATCAACATGGAGTACGGCAGAAACTTCTCTGGGCCCGACAAGGACGTCTTCTTCTATGACCGGTCTGTGGGGTACACGGAAGACGCCTGGCAGTCTAACTTCCTGCACCCCGTCATCTACTACTACAGGCACCTCCCCACCGGTGAGTGGCTCTGCGCCCCCTCCCGCCTGGGCTTTCTTGGGGTGGGCACTCCTCGGGCCCCACTGGGGATCGAGGTGTCACCATGAGTCCCTCCCACAACACTCCGCTGACAGAGGAGGACCGCTAGGGACTCGGCCCCGAGACAGGAGGTCCAAGAATGATAAGTGCTGGTCCCAGATTCTGGCCTGCACCATGACCTGGGCAGGGCACACATGGGGTGGCATGATCTCCAGGCACCATAGAGTAGAGGGACGCGGTCTTGCTGTGTGTCTCCAGAGGAGGCTGATCGTGGAGTGGGGAGGGGGGACTTGGAGACGATTCGACGGAACAGGGAGAGGAACTGGAAGCGGTTAACGCAGGAGTGGAGCGGTGCAGGGCAGAAGAGCTGGGAGGTGCTCCCAGGTCTGTCCTTTGCCTGCTGTGCAACCTTGGACCATTTATTAACCTCTCTGAGCCTCAGCTTCCTCCTCTGTCAAATGGGGATAAAAACAGTACCTTCCTTCCTGTGTGAGGATGAATGAGATGATAGATACAGAATGCCAGCACGGTGCCTGGCAGAGTAGCTACCAAGGGGTGAACCACCCGGGGAACCCAACTCCTGCTTCAGAACTTGAAGGGCTGTCACTTGGAAGAGGATGATCTAAAACGGGCAGAGGTAGTACCAACAGGTCCAAGTGGCAGGACCGCAGGTGTATATCCAATAGAAGGAGCAAGTAATATCGGCGCTGTCCCACAGTGGAATGGGCGGCCTCCTAGAGCCGAATTTCCCAGTACAGGGGTGGCTGGGTCATGGCCTGAGCCATCTGACAGGGACACCACAGAGGGGACCCACAACAGGTGGAAGATGGACTAGGTGAGCTCTAAGACCCCTTCCGATGCTGGACCCGAGCCTCCTCACAGAAAGACCAGTTGTGAAGCAGCCATAATAGACCTCAGTCTACGTGAGCCTTAGAGAAGCATCAAGTTCAAGTGGTTGGTCTGAGTTCTGCCCTCTGATAGCACAAGGGACAAGTCTAGTTTTGTCCTGCTTCCTCGTGCTAACCTTCCAAGCATTCGGGGATGGCTGTGGAACAACAGACCGCAGCCAGCGCAGAGCTGTCCCAGGAGAGCCGAGCTCACGGGCATGAGTGAGCGGGGTAGGCGTTGGGAAGGTGCGGGAACCACGCCGCTGCCACTGACCCCAGTGGGAAGCCAGCTGCTGGGCTCTGACGCGGCCCCACCTCTCCCCACAGAGCAGGAGGTGAGGTTCCGCCCTGCAGACTGGCCCCTGCCGCGGCCGGCGGCCATCCACCACATCCTGGAGGACTTCCTGACAGACTGGACCGCCCCCGTGAGCCACATCTTGCCTCTGAGGCGCTTCCTGGAGAACTGTCTGGGCACCGATTTGCGAAGCTTCTACGCAGGTAACCTACGTGCCCGAACGACAGAGGGACTGAGCTAGAGGCGGGAAGAGGCCAGAGAGATCAGGCCCTGAGCGTTCCAGGATGCACAGCTAGAAACCCAAACCAGGGCTCCGTTTCCCACAGCGTGGTGGACGAGGTGTTCACAGAAGCCCCTCCCAGGCAGCACGCCTGAAAACGCCGAATAAAGAACTGGCAGGAAAATTGGGAAACTTCCCAGAGACAGATACTGAGAAAAGCATAAACCCTTGCTGGACGTGGGCCATCTGCTGGCCGTCAGCAGGCCGAGCCTGGGAAAGTGAGCAGCACTAGGGGTAGGAAGGTGAGGCTAAAGCAGGGGTGTGTCTGTTTAGAGACCTTCAAATAAGCTTGGGTCTCAGTGGGTAAACTAGGAGGCCAAGAACCCCCAAGACGGAGATGGTAGAAGCCCATAGGGAGGGGAGGGCAGGGGGGTTACCCCTGATGACTTCCAACCACTAGGCCTCACTTGGGAGTTTGGGGACAAACTGCACACTGTCGCTGTGGCACAGCAAACGTCTGTTAAGCATCCGTAGTATATAAGGTACTATTTGTACCAAATCAGGTTAGAGGCAGGCAGTCCTTGTTTCATCCCGGGTGACATCCTCGGTCCACTTTGAAATAAAAATGTGAATGTACATTAAGAGAGATGGCTTAAAACAATAGTTTAAATTCATCGTCCACATACATGTAAATGTCCAACAGAGGAGAGTCATAGAGCAGAGTACTAGCATTCTGCAAACTGTCGGCTTACATGTGAAAGTACACGACTAACCTCAGCTACAAAGCCCCTGCCGTCTCGAGGTTTCAGGAGCACACAGAGATGCCGGGCCTGTTCGGGAACATACTCCCACCCTGAGTTTTGGCTCCTATGATTGGATCATCAGTGGCCCTTTAGCCTCCTGGCTCCCACTCCCTAGACCAGGGGTGGGCAAACTTTTTGACTCGAGGGCCACAATGGGTTCTTAAACTGGACCGGAGGGCCGGAACAAAAGCATGGATGGAGTGTTTGTGTGAACTAATATAAATTCAAAGTAAACATCATTACATAAAAGGGTACGGTCTTTTTTTTTTTTTTAGTTTTATTCATTTCAAACGGGCCGGATCCGGCCCGCGGGCTGTAGTTTGCCCACAGCTGCCCTAGACACTAGTACAGGCCTCTCTATGTCAGTGCCTTGAACTCGGAAGAATCCTACCTGGCAGAGGGCCAGCTGGCAGAGGGCGGGCCTTCTCCCCACCCCCTTAGATGATGTGCTGGGCTTCTCTGCCCCTGGCCCCTGCAGAAGGGGTGATGCGCGTCATCAGAAGGGGGTGCTTGCCAAACGGCCACCTTGCTGCCCCTCCGCCATCCTCCCCTCACACCTGCTGTCTTCCCTGCTCGGAGAGGGCCGTCAGGGACCCTCTGTGCTGTGAGTCAGAACTAAAGTGGGAAATAATATTTGTGTAGCAGCCTGTTCACCCACGTAGGCCTCCCAACATTCTTTGCAATACCAGGGTGGACAAAAGCAGGTTTACTAGTACAGCTGCACTGTGACGCTCTTTGGAGTTAATAAAGCTATTGTAATAATTATAACCTGCTTGTCTGACATTCGAACAACTGTAAACCTACTTTTGCCCACCCCTGTTTGCCCATTTTGTGAAATAAAAGACTCAAGCTGGTTTTCTGACGCTCACTCCACTTTCCCATCCTGTCTCAGTCCCTCAGAACACTGAGCCCATGTGTTTCATCCTTTCTAGCTTTTTAAATCAAAGTTACGTAATACCCAGCTACAAGGCCTTTCCCCACCTCCATTCTCATTCTCCAGAAGGAACTGCTTCTAGCTCCTCTGGTGTTTCTTCCTATTTCTAAGTAACAAGTACCCGCATGATTTCCTCACCGGCCGGGTGGACCCACCAACTGCTGTGGCACAGAGGAGGGTAATCACAGCACCGTTGACCCGTTTTGTCTTCGTGACCCCTCAGCGCTGAGAGCAGGGCTCGCACCTGGCACTTGCCACTCAGATCTGGTCGAGGGAAGAAATCTTTGCAGGCAACGCTGAGCTCAAAAGGGGACGAGTCCCACCCCAGGCTGGCCCGGCAGAGCATCCTGCTGGCCCGTCTCTGGAAGCTGAGTCATCTCTGTGGTTTGCTTTCACTGTGGAGCCTCATTCTTCCCAAATGCTGGGGTAGCCGATTCCTGGAACGACTGAAGGGGCGGAGTTGCATGGCCACTCGGTCAGAAATGAGAGACCCAGAAAAGTCAGCTCTCAGCTCAGGGATGGAGGGTGCTGGGGGAGGCCCCTGGGGCCCCGGCAGCTCCTCCTGCACCTCGCCCCCCACCTCTCAGCCCGACTCATTCGTCTCCTTTTGCTTTTCTGTAGAGTCCTGCTTCCTGTTCGCACTAACACGCCAGAAGCTGCCGCCCTTTTGCCAGCAGGGATACCTGAGGATGCAGGGGCTGGTGGGAACCGGAAGTCTCCGGCAGCACCGAGTGGAGAGTGGGCTCCTGCAGGACTATGCCGCTGCGGGCAAGCGCAGGGAGGACAGCGGCCAGTGGCCTGGCCTCCGTGAGCCAGTAGACCAGCCCCAGGCTCCAGGGCCTCTGGACCAGCCCCTCAACAGCAACAAGGAGGAGCTGTGATGTGCGGGTCTCTCCCACCCAGGCCTTCCTTCCCACAGCACCGTGCTCCCACCGATGGGTGATTGCCAGAGGCCACTGGGATCATTGCAGCGGCCCCACCAAAGCCACACGGAGCGCGCGTAAGGGCTACGGTGGCCATGCGGCGGTCTCCTCCCCTCCTGTTGGCGTCCATAGTGCCCAGGAGGTGGGGTCCAGAGAAGGACATCCTCTGCCAGTAGGAGTCGCCTCCCACAGCCGGGCTTGTCTGCAAGTGAATGACCGCTGAGCACCAGGCTGGCCTCAGTCTGTCCCCATCAAGTGCCCAGTGGTTCCTTTTCCTTCTGGTCTACTCTTCAGAAGGGCCTGTCAGTGGAGGTCTCACAGATGAAACCCAGCCTCATCTGCATAAGGGTTAGTGGCAGCTCTTTAAAATAAAAGCTCTAATAATCCCAATTACCTAGGGCAGGTAGGACTGTTACTCCTGATGAAGACAGCAGCTCAGAGAGGTTGGGTGACTCCCAGGGCCCCAGCCAGGAGTCCTGTCTGCTGCAGCCCTGCAGCCTGTCCCACCTCACAACACCGCCTCTCCCCGCCCCCACCTCTGTTTTCAGAAAGGGGGCCGGGGCCCTGGGGCGCTGGGCTCATGGTCCTGGGCCCAGCAGGCTGGCATCAGGCGGAGATAGCACCTTAGCTAAGCAGGCGCTCCCCGAGAGAAGTCCTGCTCTTTCTCTCCGGGACCGCTCCCCGGTTCATCTTTAGTCTGTGTTCTTCTTCCGCCCTGCCCGCTGGCTTCCTGAACGGTGCCTCACCTGGCGAGGCAGATCAAGTTTTGGCACCTTCCTGCCTTGCCGTGGGTTGCTTTTGGAGGTGGTTTGCCCGCTGTTTGAACAGAGCCCGCTCAGCTTGTGCGGAGACATTTATAAATGCGTTTGCATGATAACAATGATGGATTTCATTCCAGCTCCCTTAGCTATTCTGGCTCTTCCTTGTCCTTCCTCGCCAGGGACCTGTTCCCTTCTTCACTCTCCCATCTGGCATTGTAGTCCTGTTCTGAGTAAGCCATGGGAAGGCATTGTACATAAAGCAATCATGGTTTCTCAAGGTCGGGATCATGATGCTTTCTCACTGGTTCTTATAGCCCTCCATGCAGCCACTCGGAATGTGAGGGGCCTGGGCTTTCCAGCCCCGCAGCCTATTTCTGGGACCATTCTCTTGGCTTAGGCTCACATTCCTTCCCTACCTGCCCCACCCCCTTATCTGCAGATGCCTCTCCCTCCAGTATTTGCAGAGTTAGAACAATGGGACTCCAGCTAAGGCAGGAGGCGTTTACCCAATGACAGTACTTGGCATAGTTTGCACACAGCTAAACCTTGTACATTCAGGGTCTCTCCCCATTCCCAGGGTGTAGGGTTCACTGTGTCTCCTACAGGTTACAGGTAAACCAACCACCCTTCCTTTTCAAATAAATATTTTCATTAGGACTGTACCCATAATTTCATACACATCTTGCCTACCCGATTACTGAAGACTGGCTGAGCCCCTTTTCCAATAAAAATTGGAGGTGCTGTAACATGGTTTACTGATGCCTGAATATGTGACATCTGCTGCTTTTCCCATCGTCTGCCAACTTGTTAATTCCATCAAAATATCCGCCAGCCTTATTTGTGTTCAGTAAGACATGGTTCCATTCTTGCTCAGCTGATTAGAGAAGTCTGAGCAATGTCCCTGGTATTCTTATAAATTTGTGCATGGGTGGGGTCCCTCGGGGTGGCCTGCGGAGATCGAGGCCCCAGCTCATACCCCCAGCCTCGCAATCCCGCCTGGCACTCTGCCTTGGCCTGGCGCTGCCCCCTCACCTGCTCCACCATCCCGCCTGTGGGGCAATCTATTGGGGCCGGGCCCCCCGCCCACCCCCCCTGCCGCCGCTGGTCTCCATCTGGGGGAAGATCAGTGGGGTGATCAGGCCTCTGCTCATACCCACGTTGGCCTGGTGCCCCCCACTCACCTGCTCCACCATCCCACTGCAAACCCGCTCTCATCAGGGCGCATTGGGGCGACAGCACCTCCACTGCTGCCTGCTGCCAGCACCGCATCACCGACACCTGCCATGTTCCTTGCTGCCCACTGGTGGTCAGCGCACATCATAGCGAGCAAACGACCGCAGGAGGGGACAATTTGCATATTAGTCTTTTATTATTATAGATCAGCCGTGGGCAAACTACGGCCCGCGGGCTGAATCCGGCCCGTTTGAAATGAATAAAACTAAAAAAAAAAAAAAAGACCGTACCCTTTTATGTAATGATGTTTACTTTGAATTTATATTAGTTCACACAAACGCTCCATCCATGCTTTTGTTCTGGCCCTCCGGTCCAGTTGAAGAACCCATTGTGGCCCTCGAGTCAAAAAGTTTGCCCACCCCTGTTATAGATAGTTGGCTTCAAACAGAGAAGTACTTTTTTCCTATGAAGATCATTGCTGCATTTGCTGGAGATCCTATCTCCATCTTCCCTCCTAGCAGATCTCATTGTTCCCAGCTGGACCAAGTTCCTCTTCCAGCCAAGGCCTGAATTCATTAATTCCTTCTTTTTTTTAATATTACAAAGCTATTGGTGCAAAATAGACAAATCAGTGAAATAAGAGGCCAGAAACAGGCCCTATTCTAAGTAAGAAGGAGGTGTTTTTTTAAAAAAAATCACAAACCAATGGAAAAGATTGTGCAGGACCATGTAATCAATAACGTTGGACTAACTGGTTAGTAATTTGGAAAATAAAATGCATCTCATTTTAGACCCTATATCATACTACAAATCTAATTCCAGATGAAATTTTTTTTAAAGCCATATAGAAACCGGAGATGAAGAGGGGGTACTTTCATAAAAGAAAGGCTATTCCAGGTTCAGAAGCAGCAGAGTAATTCCCCAGACAAAATAAGTTCAACATTTCCAGGTACACCCATCTAGCCTGTACCTAATTAATGGGACTAATGAGATTATTTTAAAGAAATTGGTAAAAATTAAAAGGCAAAACAGCATGGGCAAAAAATAATTACAGCAGACTATAATAAATATCATTATATATAGAACTAATTGAAAAAAAGGAGAAAAATCAAGTTAAGTGAACTATGGCACATCCAGCTCTCAAATTATACAGCTCTCAAAAACTAAAATATGGTGAGAGATGTATAATAAAGCGAAGTGAAAAGAAGCAGGATATGAAATTGTAGTTGCAACTTCTTTAAACCATATAAAAATAGAAACCTACATACTACAGAAAGGAAGCCTCACTAAATGTCATCAGTGGTGTGCTAAGATTTGCAGAAGTCTTTTTGTTTGTTTGTTTTTTGTTTGTTTTTGCTTTTTTCTCTTGTCCAAATTTGTGGTTATACTCTGAAATAAATACATTATTTTTTTAATCACATCTGATTTTGGAATTTAAAATTGCTGGGGGCGAGTCTAGCTGGTTTGACTCAGTGGATAGAGCATTGGCCTGCGACTGAAGGGTCCCGGGTTCAAGACCAGTCAAGGGCACATGCCCAGGTTGTGGGCTCAATCCCCAGTAGGGGCATGCAGAAGGCAGCCGATCAATGATTCTCTCTCATCATTGATGTTTCAATCTCTCTCTCTCTCTCCCCGTCTCCCTTCCTCTCTAAAATCAATAAAATATATATTTTTAAAAATTGCTGGGGGTGAGTGGAGCTGGGGCCCTGCCCAGAGGACATGCTCTGCCCCTTGGTCCAAGCGGTACCCATGCATCATCCTGTCTCCCCAGCTGGGGAGACACTGCACCGAGTGCGGGGGGAGAAACTTCTCAGTCTAGAGAAGTGAATTTTAAGTGGGTGTGTTCCTCTTCTAAAGTCTTCGGACTGACTGACCCCGCACTACGGAGATCTCCGGAAGAATCTTCCCTCCCTCCTGATCGAAAATGAAAGATTAGAATCCTCATTTTGTGGAGGTCTCCTGGGTACCAGATCCACTCTGTTGGAGAGCCCCAATTCCTTCCACCTGATAAAATTGGGGTGTCCTGAATATAAGCATAACCCATGGACAGAAACAGTAGAGGGGTGAGGGCATGTGCTGGGGGGTGAGAACGGCCGGGAGAGGTCAATGGAGGGAAAAAGAGACATATGTAATACTTTAATCAATAAAGAATTTAAATTACTAATAAAAAAAATTGGGGTGTCCCTAAAAGCTGCCTAGAAATGGACTCACCAAGAAGTGAATTTGTCTGCTAAGCTAATCGTAACATCTAATCATTTATTGAGTACCTACCACGTGCCCAGAACTGTGGTGGTTTTAAGATATGTCCACAAATTCTTTGATATTTCTCCCCCAAAGAGGTGGAGCTCCATTCCCTCGTGTTGGGTGTGGGCTGGACTTGGTTAACTTCTAGCAAATAGAATACATCAGAAATGACAGGATGTCATGTTTAAGATTAAGTTTTTCAAAACGGCCCTCTTGGCGCAGTGGGCAGCGCGTCAGTCTCATAAAAACACATTCAGCCCTAGCCAGTTTCCTCAGTGGTTAGAACATTGGCCCACGGACTGAAGGGTCTCAGGTTCAATTCTGGTCAAGGACATGTACCTCGGTTGCCAGCTCAATCCCCAGCCCAGTAAGGGCACATGCAGGAGGCAACCAATCGACGTGTCTCTCTCACATTAATGTTTCTCTCTCTGTCTCTCCACCTCCCTTCCACTCTCTCTAAAAATCAATGGAAAAAATATCCTCAGGTGAGAATTAACAAAACACACACACACATACTTATCGACCAAGAAACTGTGCTCTCCCCACCCCCTCTCAAGACCCTCCCTGGGGGAGGCCACCTGTCATGTCAAAAGGACACCCAGTATGCACAGGCCCACATGGCAAGGAACTAAGCTGCCACAGCCAGCGAGTAAGTGAGCCTGGAAGTGGGTCCGTCTCCAGTCCAGCCTTCGGATGCCTGCACTTTTAGCCCCCCCTTTAAACACACCCCCATGAAAGACCCGGAGCACAACCCCCAGTTAAGTAGCTCCCTGTTTCTTAACCAAGAGAAACTTTTTCTCATGTTTGTTGTTTTAAGCTGCCCATTTGGGGCGGGGGGGGGGGGGGGGGTGCCAGTATGGCTCAGTTGGAGCATCACCCTGTACACCAAAGGGATGGGTTCGATTTGGTCAGGGCACATGCGGGAGGCAACTGATTGATGTTTCTCTCTCACATCAGTGTTTCTCCCTGTCTCTCTCTCTCTCTCTAAATATCAATTTAAAAGTCTAAAAAATTAAAATAAATTGGGAGGGTTGTTTTTACACAGCAATAGATAACTAATACATGCACTAAATAGCTTTGAAAATCCACTTCCTTTGAGCCATCCTCTAAATATTAAATAATTAAAGCAACCTTCCCTCATCACCATCCCTATGAGTTTCCTTCATGTGAACACTGGGTGACAAGAAATTGAGACCAAGCAATTCTCAAACCTAGGAAAGTATGTGGTTCCCACAGGAGGCACAGACATGTTGAAATGCTGATTACACAAAAGGTACCCCCACACAGAGCACTAATCCACTGCATCAAAACAGCCCTCCTGTGGCCCGGGCAGGGCGGGATGACCCAGACAGGAAGAGGAAAGCTCGCGTCTGGAGCATCGGCCGCGCCAGGCTTCAGCCTCAGGATCCTCAGCTCTCTGACCAATCACATCATCATCCCCACAAGCCAAATTGGATTCTTCCCAGAAAAGGAACCGGAGGCTGCATCATTTCGCTGCAGATGCTTATTTTTTGAGGATGGTAAAAATGCTGACTGGGGAGTGCTTTTTGTCAGGCTGCAGGCTTTAAGAAAGCATTGAATTCAATCTGGCATCCCAGACGGGATGTAAATCTGCTACAAAGTGAAGTTGATGGACAAATATATGAGATGCTTTAGCCCAAGTATTTAATCCAAGTACATCACACGACCAATCCATCAAACTTGAAATAAAAAAATAGCAGGCAACAGATGCATTGAAGCAGGGAAGAAAGGACCAACAGGACGCTTCACTCCTCTCTCAGTTCTGCATAAATCAGACTGGTTTGCCTGCTCTTCCAGAGAAAGCCCCAGCTTGCAGCAAACTGCGGTCTTCCCAAAGTGTGTCACCTGCTTTTTCACTCTCTTTGAGACAGTACTATCTCAGACCAGTCTCTCAATCCACTATAAATTAATTAGATGCAGAAAAGTCCTACCAACAGAAAAAACACAGCAACATGTGCAGTGTGTTATAATCTACCATTGTAGTTTAGAAACAAAGCAACTACAAAAAGTATGTGAGATGAGCCCCTTAACATCAACCATGTTTAGGTTTTAAATAAGTCCGTCTGTCAGGAAAAGAGGTGGTGCCCAAAAGGCTCTGTTGTGAGGCTCTGTGGTAGATACGTAGCCAAAAACTCCACGACAACTCCTGCCAATATGTGAGGTCCATGTCCCCTCCCCTTGAATGGGGTATCCTCTAGGACTGTTTGAACCAAAAACATGGTGGAAGTGGTGTCACGACAGTTTCTGGGCACAAGCCCTAAGAGACTGGCAACTTCTACCATCTCTCTGGGAACCCAGCCACCATCCTGGGGGGT